TCATCATTACAGCCCCTTACAAGTCCACTGCTGAACATAGGCCTTCCCCAAAGAATGCCCAACACACGGTCCTGAGCCACCTGCATCCATCGACTTCCTGCATGTCTTACCAGGTCGTCACTCCATCAAGTGGGGTACGCCCTACACTTCGCCTGCCGGTACGAAGCTGCCACTCGAGAGAACCTTTATTCCCCATCGATTGTCAGTTCTTCGAGCTACATGACCGGCCCAATGCCACTTCATCTTACTAATCCGTTTGGCTATTATAAAAACTTAAACTTAAGGATTTCTCTACAAAGAAAGCCAAAGTTGTATTCGTCATAGTATATATATGTACATTTTCCAAGGACAAACTTTCCGTGCGGCGGAATTTTAATGACTCTTAGCACTGCAACTCCTTGCTAAGCCACTGCGCCACGAAGCGTCAATTCTACCGTGGCCTTCTTCATTCGATGTTGGCTACAGTAGCCACTTATCTGTAAACTGAAAGTTCGTTTGTCACTTCAGTTTTATAAAAAAGTTAAGAAACTGCGCCGCAAAATATTTCACCGACTTGTGTATCTGTGTGTATCTGTTAACCATATTTACATAAATTATCCATTTATGTAAATATGGTTTTTCCGCGAATCGAACATCGTATTCGCACAGAATAAATAATAGTTACTAACCGTAGTATTAGTAATAATACATCGCGCCCTCGCTACAGCTTCCGGCGTCACACTGCACGCGTAGTGTAGTGTAGGGAAAACAGAAGTTTCATCGCTTTTATAACTTTATGTATGCATGTTATACTTTTTAGTTTGTGTACGAGTATACTATTAAAGTTTTATCTGGATATAAAAGTAAAATAACAGCCTATACGTGCCACCTCTGGGCACAGGCCTCTTCGCATTTCTAAAAGAAATAAAAACAACGTGTTAGTTACCTATGCGCAATGATAATATATTATACAAAAAGAAGCAGATATGTTATTGGCGCGCGCTTAGTGAGGACTCAAAAACGTTCTAATTGGCACGTTTTGTGTTTAGTTCGCGTCACGCAGGGCGACGAGAAAGGCACTGTATTGAACATTTTAACAGCTATAAAAATGCCATCGTGTGTATTTGAAAGGTGTACCAATTACGAGTATTATTCTATAGCAGCAAACGGCTGCGTACATCAGGTGGTAATTGCAACAAATCGCATGAACCAACTATATAATTACAGAAGTCGCTATATAAACATAAAATTGCAATGGGTTCCATCGCATATAGGTTTAAAGGGAAACGAAGAGGCTGACCTATTAGCAAAAGCAGCTATAACGCATGGAATCGAATTAAATATTTTACCAATTTACACGGAAATCTTGACAAAATTCAAAAACCTGTGTTATGATAAATTTAGAGAGTATTTCGATGAAAGAAGCAGGGAAAAGGGAATATGGTATAAAACAATACAAAGTCAGCCTCTTCGAATACCGTGGTATAATAATATTAAAATGAATAGAAACCATATAATTGTTATTCATAGATTACGTTCTGGGCACTACCCCAATAAAAAATTTGTATTTTTAATGAAAAAAGCAGACTCGCCCAATTGCGATATTTGTCATATTGTAGAAGATGTCCAACATATGCTAGCAGAATGTGTCAAATATCAAAGGGAAAGGGAGAATCTGGTACAAAAATTTAGTATCAATTTGTGTGAAACGGGTTGGTTTTTGAGTATACTTGCGGAGCCACACTCAGCGGTAGCAAAATCAGTCAGTACCATATTTTTACCACATTGATTGCCCCTTTCCAAACAGCATTGGTGAAACGGGAACAAGCTAGGTTACGATAAGGCTGACATATCCTTGTAGGATAAAAGCCTTTTTAAATAAAGACAGATAAAAAAAAAAAAAAAAAAAAAAAAAAAATCGCATGTTTTATCGCATGAACTAGTCGCTTGCTACTTAAGTGTGGAGTGGTTGCGTCAGCGAGTTATATATGTAAATAGCAGCTGTTTTCACCTGAGGATGTCTCGTGTAAAGCTGTAAAGGGGTAACACGTGTCGTATTATCAACGGTCTTTCCTAGTGTAGTGCACACAGTACAGTGTGTCCTAGTATGCAGTATTGGGAGTATTGGTGCTAGAATTAGTGGTGATTTGAATCGTGCACACAATTGAGGGAGGGCAGGAGGTGCTTCTCAAACTACACACGACACATCATTTTATTTTATTACGAGGATTTTAGCTAGCTGATTCGTATAACGATGTAAAAACATCTTTAAACGAAATATTGTTTCCTTACGTCATAAAATAAAGAGGTTTCATTCTATTTAATTGTAATAGCGATCTGTTTAACTCCACAGCTGTACAGTGTAGTTTCTGTCTGTAATCCGACTACAATCCCATTTAGTTCTAAGTGGTGATGAAACTCTAGATGGTAAATAACACTGTCTTAGTAGTCTTAGCGTAACAAAAGCTCATTACATAATCATTACAGTCCTTCACAAGTCCACCGCTGAACATAGGTCTCCCCCAGGGAATGCCATTAAACAAAGTCCTGATATGTAACTAGTGTTCTTGTTATCTATTTGAATGACTCACAGAGCAAAGAATTCAGTACTCTAAGGAACAACCCGAACTAAACAGATTTTTATGTAAGCAATTATGCAAATGTTAGATCCGTTACCCGTTCGTTATAAATAATAAATAAATAAAAAGTATTTATTTGCCACAAAACGATACAATGTTAAAATTTAAATAGACAGCTTCATAATGAATTGTGACAAAACGGTCTGTGACTCAGTTGTAACGGGAAACCCATTACTCCTGCTATTCTGCCACAGCCTTTGCGCAGTACTCATCTTAGGCAAGTGATGAAACACACGTATCAGTAATAAATAAATAAATAAAAATTCAAACAATAAGTAATAGTTACTAAAATATGAAATACAAAATACAAAATGTTCACTAATTTGACGGTTTTACTTTGACTTATCCGCTACAACCTATCAAAAGTCCCTTGTTGAATATAGGCCTCCCCTATAGATTTTCTCATAAAGGAGATATTTGCCATAGTTGCCACGCTAAGCAAGCGTAATGGTAACCGCAGTTTTTTATACGTTTAAGTTGTTATCAGGAAGATGCTGCTGCCCATCTCCTGTTTTAGTTTTACTCTATTGCCTTATACCACACCCAAGGCGTATATGGCGTAGTGGATATTCTCACACCGCCACATACGCGGTATAAATGTCGGATATTGGAACCTATTTCATATGTTTTATTTTTTACTTATTTTGAAACGAGTGATCCTGTAGTTGGATTGCTGCTATTGCTATACTGTATCGCTATTTTACATTTTCCTCGTTAGTTGCGCTTGACGTTTCCACTTATCTACGGGATCTAATGGACTTTGATAAAAACCTATTTTCAAATAGTTTTTACGTAAATTGTAAATATAATAAGTATTATAAAGTGACGTTCTTTAAGCGAGGATATTGTTCGAGGCAAAAGACGTAAATGAAACATCTTCATGAAAACAATTCTAAATCATTTAAGCTGCGGTTCCCAACACGGCTGCCAAGGTTAGTAACTATGGCGAAAACTCTCTCCCTATAGGGGAGGCCTATGTTCAGCTGTGGACTTTGTCTGTTCTGTCTGTTATAGCCTATCAAAGTCCACTGCTGAACATAAGCCTCCTCCATAGATTGTCACGTTTGGTAAGCCGGTTGGCAACCGTTTGAAACGAAGTTCCTTATCAGACGGTACGAATTTGGCGAATGGGATAGATCCCATCCGCCTAGATCCGAGAAGTGTAAAATTTTTACGACCCCTTCTGTCGTAGTGTAGACGGCCTTGGCGGCTATAAGGATTTGAGATGGAATAATATCCACCTCCCGCGAACTTTTTTTTTATCTTGCCATGAAAGAAATATTATTTTATTTTAAATTACGCTTCATTTTAATTTCTTTTTTCTTTTCTTTTTTTTTTTTTAAAAAAAACGTTACCCCCACACTAGGATTTCCTCCTGTATCGTGGAGGCAGTTCACAAACACAAATTGCGCAAGGACAAACATACAGACCCGGAACAATTATTTGTAGGCCATACAAATACTTGTTCCGTGCGGCATTCGAACCCGCGCCTCCCAGCGCAGGAACTCATTGCTAAGCCACTGCGCTACGGAGCCGTCAAATAGACGCTATTATTCTCGGCTATTGGGATCCATTACTTTTACAGCAACAAGACAACCAATCCACCTATTCTAAGTTGAAAAAAGTAGCTATTAAGCATTAATTTGTGCTCATAGATTACCTCCTAATCTATGTTTGTGCTGCACAGCGACTTCGACAGTTTCGGAAAGGCTTTTGTCAAAAGCTGGTCAACATCTGTATCGAAAAAAGAGCATATATATATATATATATATATATATATATATATATATATATATATATATATATATATATATATATATATATATATATATATATATATATATATATATATATATATATATATATATAATATTAAATTAAAAACTTAAAAAATACACGAACTAAGTCTTCGACACAAAAAGAGCTGATATTAAGAATATTAAGACTAAATATTTTCTTGAATAATGGCTAAGAACACTCTTGATCAAGTCACCGTTAAAAAAAACGAAATGTCAATCGGTTCATCCGTTTGGGAGCTACGATGCCACCGACAGACACACAAAAACACAAATAACACGTTAAACATGTAACACCCCTCTGTTTGCGTCGGGGGTTAAAAAGGATAACTACTGACTAATTTACATTTTTGCAATATACCCATAAAATACTGAATATGAGAATGTTCAGTATTTTATTTTATGGGTATTTATCAATATTTTTTTTTATTATAAAATTAATAAATACATTTGTGTGTTGATTTTGCCACCTATAACATCGATAATTTCCTTTTGATATATGTATATCAATACTTTTGAATCGATTTTAAAACCGAAGTTTTTCTAATTTCGATTTTATTTAGTGTTGCGGTGTGTTTGTGCGCAGGCCGATCCGAGGTATGTCGGCGGTGGTGGCAGGCGCGGGGCCGGCACACGCCTGCTTCTTCGCGACCTACGAGCAGAGCAAGCACACGCTGGGCCATCTCACACGACACCGCCACGATCACATCACCCACGGTAAGTGGTTTCTATTATAACAGTTGAAGTGACATGCGAACTAACAGTTCACAAAGTGTAGAAGTCAATGAATCTATCGGCTCGACCGAGGTAGGACTAGGGTTGCACACTTTTTTTGAGCAAAAAACATATTTAATCCTTTGAATATAAAAAATATTTGCAAAAAAAGTATTTTTCAAATTTGTTTTTATTGCTTTAAATACATATTTTTTTACTCTTTACACGCGTTAACAATATTTGGTTATCTTTAATAGTTTCAGAACTAGTTTTATAATCTAACTTTAGATTTAAATAGATAAATTATTTATTTTTTATTACATTTATGTACTACCTATTTCTCTCGTCTCTCTACTTCACTTTCATCACCGAATAAACTATTTCAGTGAAAGCTGAGGTTGCGGGAACAGAAACTAAATAATAAATATTTTTTTTTATATTTGGTAAGTTATCGCAACGCATATTTAAGTATTTATTGCCATTTTTCAGTAGTAGTTTTCACCATCTGACATCTACCGTTTCGACCAGTAACAAATAATCATATTAATCGTGTGTACTCCATTCTATTTTACCTTAGGTATCAATAAAATCGATAAATTATTCAAAAATTACGTATGGGAGTGTTTTATTAGGCGCATCATCACACTGAAGATTCGAAATAAAGTATTTTCGCATACTTCATTTTTATGCAAAAGTATAAAGTATATTTATCAAAAATAAACTAGGATACGTTATTATAAAATATGGTTGGCAACCGACGATCTCACAGAATACAAGCGTAAAATATAAGCTCAATGCTGCTGTGTTTAGTGTGGTGAGTGTAGAGAACTGGAGACCCTTTTTACTTTAAACTATGGGATGGGAATAGGGATGTAACAGTAATACCCTATTGAGGTGTCTATGGGTAGCATCCATTTAACATCAGGGGGACTGTTTCCTCGTTTGTCACCTTTTCTATAAAAACAAAACGTCAGTCCCAGCCTACATATGTACATCTGCAAACTATTGCAAACAAAGAAGGCTACACATGCGTTGTTACCATTGAGGTTTAAGATGGAATGCCTTACGGCCTGTATGGCTTTCTTCTATACCCTACAAATCGAAACACAGAATCGGCTACTTGGCGGAATAAATAGGTAAGAAGATGGTACCTGTAGAACTTATATAATATTCACAATACGTAACACTAGCTCACTATCACACCAAGTCTCTCTAGGTAACACGTCCTACCTCGGCGCGCTCCAGAATGCAACTGACTGCCGGAATTCAATACAACCACCGAATAACGTGCTACCCCCCACTACTTGTGTCTATGAAACAGTGTATTGAATCTATTAAATAGATACAAACACTACAGTACCTACCCAGACCGACTCTTGGGCATAAAACACTTGTCCCACCGCCGACGACGAAGCGATTAACTATTGACTATTTTCTCGCTCAAGAAACGAACAATAGATATAGATCCCGTGTCAATAAAAGAGATTCATATATCAATAGTTGATCGCTGGCTGTTCACACTGCCGGCGAGAACTGTCCATTAGTTTGTCGCAACGACAAGGGTTATCAAAGGTAAAACTTGCTCAGCGATGCTCGCTTGGCGGTCCGAAACTCACGCCGAGAGGCAAACCAGCGGTCATTTGATTTTACAGTGCAGATTTGAGTGCACTCGCTTATAGGCCAGCGACAAAACTATCGGAATTACCACCCACTCCCTTCTCACTACTCGCCAACTATTATCTAGTTTCTAGCTCTACTCGCTTCTCGTTCATCGTTGGCGGTGAGATAAGTCCCTAAAGGTAGTGTTTCTACCTGTCAGTAGTTGTAGTCCAGAACAGATTTTTTTTATAGATATGAGACTAACAAACGAGCATATAATCCACCTAATTGTAAGCGAACGCTACGGTCCATATACAGCATCTATCCGCGATCAAGATTCAAAATACAGATGACAATTTTTAAATTTTTTTCTCCGCACGTACAAGTCCACCGCTGCAGGTAGTTCGCTGTAGGTGTAGAAATTGAACCTCCTCCGTTGTTATCTATATACAAATAAATAAAACTGAAGTGTAAAACCAAATGCATATGAAAGTAGGTATATACGGTACCTATAACAAAAAAAAAATTTTGTCTGTCTTTCTAGGTGTTTGTTCCGGCTAATCCCCAAAATGGCTGGACCGATTTTGATGGGACTTTCACTGGCAGACAGTTGATGTTATAAGGAGTAACTTGGGGCACTATTGTTTTATAATAATCAAAACCCATGAAATCCAATTTCATGATATCAAATAAATTCCGTGTGGACGAAGTCGCGGAGAGCTAGCGGGAAGATACATAAATTCCATATCGCGTGTGGTGTTGCAGACGTTTATTGACGCAGTTACCCGTCATCGGTCGGTAATACGAGTAATAGAGCAATACCGCCATCTTGGAAGCCTTGGTATTTTAGCATTTCTCACTCCACTTTACGGAGTCGCTATTTATCTTTAAATATTTGCTGCGATGTACTAGGACACTTCACCTATATCGCTCTAGTAAAGTGGGACACAGTCTTACGTCTAATGAAGTAAGTGCCAATTACAACTAGGGTTGCCACGTCTCACCAGGTATTGCCTCGAAAATACAATATTTGATATTGTATTTCGAGACAATTACCTGGTAAGACGTGCAAGAAGTCTGCAGGTGGCTTAGGACCATGTTATGTGGCATTCCTTGGGTTGAGCCTATGTTTTATCAGTGCACTTAGACAGGGCTGTAATGTTGACGATGATAATGATGTTTTAAATCAATATTTCTGCGTTTATGTTGCTTTGCCTTTATGAACAGCCCCATGAAATATTATCGTGTAGGATTCTTGTTAAATATAGGAGTTGGAACTCTAATATAGCAGGATATTTTAATATGTAATGGGGTTGGCAACCCTAATTCAACAGAAAACAATTGCGCGGTTCGTAATTTCGATTGTAGTTCGACTCGAACCATTCTAACTCACAAGTAACGTATGAGTATTTAAGCAGGCTGATTTTCTAAGAGCTAACGGTAGTAGATTTTGACGTTTATAAGACGTTAAATAAGCCAAACACTGATTAATATTGGGAACAGATAGAGAGGGAGTAATTAAAAAAATTATTCAAATATTTAAAAAAAACCATGCGTGAGTTTCGTCGAACACCCGGTTGGAACGTATTTCGTTTCACAGTATATTATTTTTGATGAACATATTATATTATTGATTAACAAATACAAATAAATGAATTACTAGCGTCTATTGAAATAAAGCGTCATTTAAAATAAAATAATATTTCTTTCATGGCAAGATAAGAAAAAGTGCGAGGGAGATGGATAGTATTCCATGTCGCTATATTAAAAGGGGTCGTGATGGAAAAATCTTACACTTTTTCTCGCCTAGCCCCCATCCGCCAAATTCGTACCATCCGATAAGGAACTTGGTTCCAAAAAATCGTATTTAAATATTTTTTTTATAAAAAAGTCGCATGGTACTTAATTTAGAGAACTTACCATACGGGACCATACGGCAATATTTTTTGGCCGAAAATTATAGGGTTCGATTTCCGAGTAGCTTATAATATCTTTAAAAAGATTTGAATTATAGGTTTTCTTACTCCAAGGTTTTAACTTTAGATTTTTCCATATCAATCGATATTACTCGAATTTCATAGTTCCAAATTTGACCAGTTGTGTGAAAAAACGCTAAGTATTTAGTTGCATAACTTTTTTTTTATTTGTTTTGTTTTTAGTATTTGTTTGCATAACGCAAGCAAAGGCATCTTAGCTCAAACATCCACGTGAACAAAATGTTTAAAATATATATTTAATTGGTTAAATCGTTTTGTATGTAAAAATCACGTATGTATGTTCACTTCACCTGCCTTAACGGCAACACAACATACACGCGACATTTTCTTCTTGTGTCCTTGTTTCCCTTTGATGCTCACGTTTTAATTAAATGATTATTAATTGGCGAAGCGTGCGAAGTCACTTATTGATTTCACGATGTCTGTCCGTCTGCCCCACGATAGCTGCGTAACGCTCATATGTTTCGTATGGTGAGTGTAGAGAACCCTTTTATTGGAAACAAGGCATTCCATCTTAGTCCTCAGGTGTGGCAACGCATCTGCATTTTGGTTCTTAATCAAGGATGGATGAAGGCCCACACACATGTAGTATGAGCCATAACATAACATCCACTAACCATTAGGTGGACTGTGTGCTCGTTTGTTTATTAATTACTTGTTTACGTATATTTCTTTTAGATTTACATTATTCTAATATTCCAGTCGTTTTAAATATGATTTCATACGTTCCAGGTCTGTCGGGCTGTCTGGCGTCACTCGTGCACGACGCTGTCTCAAATCCTACTGAAGGTGAGTCCTGCTCGAGAACCTCAACTCTATACTTTGTGTGATGTTTATGTCCTTTACTTGTACGTTGACGGAAGAATCTAGTGACGCATTGCAATCAACAAAAATAATCTTAGGATGTACATGGTAACGATTTGTCGAATATTAATTAATCTATGTTCCAAGTTCGAGTACCTACTGATCACGTACACAGAGTTACGTACAATTAGGGTTAGCAACTTTTTATATCAAACTAGCTGTGTCCTGCATGCGTTGCAATGCTTTTTTACCCGACTGGCAAGAAGGTGAGTAATGTTTTTGTATGTATGTATGTACGTATTTTCTGTATGTATATTTCTTTGGCACGCTCTGTAGCCTAAACGACTTTATGGATTTGAACATATGAGGTGTCGTTAGATTCGTCTTAATGGTGGGAGTGACATTGTCTATACAATATTTATATATTGCATCTGCAAATACAAAAAAGTAGTAAAATTTGAACGCATTTGGGTTCAAGAACTCGTCGTAGTTTCATCGTGATCGGATGAACGGTACAAGGGCGCACACGGGACAAGCAAAGAAACTAAACTTTTTTATTTTTATTATGTTATATATCATTTTCGTTGCATTTACACGGAAAAAGAATATAATAGGCGGCGAAAAAAAATACATGAATGAAAACACAGAAACAAGTTAATATTTTATTTAGGACTAGCTGGTACCCTGCGCGTTTCTGCCGAAGAAGATATAATTGTGGAAAATGTTAGTTTAATTAGGACTTATAATACATTCATTGAAATTGAATGATATATTTTATCTTTCAAATAATTTGTCGGTACGATACGCGCGCCATCTACTGTAAGTTAATTGTACTATGTTTATAACCTTCACGCAAGTGCAAGCAATAAGTTGTTTACCGCAATCTGATTATAGCATTTAATGCTAACTTTTTTTTAATTTTCGTGTCAGTCCCGCGTAACCATGGGTCCTGTTAAACACCCGAAATGTTGGAAAATAAAAACAGGTTAAAATAAAAAAAAATTAGCACGTAAAAATTCTTAAAATAAGTTTTATTAAAGTTATCTTATTAAGAACGTATGACTATCATTGCGTCTTGCACCTTCAAAGCATTCTTTGTCCCATATATTCCACTTCCTAGAACCATTGATATAAAAAGTGAAGATACGGTTGTACGAATATATTTGCCTGACCCGTTTTCCGTATTAGAAAATTAAAAATTAAAAAAAAATTACAGTTGACTTCAATATAAGTTATTAAGAATAACTTAAGAACTATTTAGTCAGACCTTGATCAAATTTATATGGGACCACATGAGAAGCATCAGCTTTCAAATAAAAAAAGAATCATCGAAATTGGTTAACCCGGAAAAGTTATGAGGTAACACACATAAAAAAACCATCCAGTGAAATTGAGTACCTCCTCCTTTTTGAAGTCGGTAGAAAAATTAGCGCCATTTATTAGAACGAATTTGAACTACGATGTGATTTGCGTGATCGTTATTGCCTGTCTTAAAGCTGCCTATTCGTCTTTGTTGAACGTTGAGATAATTCGTAAACAAAATTATTTTAATTATGTAATGACATTTTTTGACCTAATAATAATATCCATCAGACTGCACCTCGGTCATGGCAGCCAGTCTCAAAGGAGACTAACAATCTGTACTTTGATTATATTTTTTTAGACAAATATAACTTTATTATAAAGTAAAAAAGTTTTGTATACATTTTTATATTTTTTTATAGAATAAGGGTGACAAACAAGCACACAGTCCACCTGATGTTAAGTGGATGCTGTGGCCCACAGACATTTACATTTATCCTCGATTAAGAATCAAAATGTAAATGCGTTGTCACCCCTGAGGACTAATTGTCTCCGGTTTCCGTTATCCGCTTCCAGTAAAAAGGGTCTCCGGTTCTCTACACTCGCCATACGAAACACGGCAGCATCAAGCAGCTATATTATGCTGGTATTCTGTGAGAGCTTGGTCCTATCCCGGTCGAACCGACCCATTCATGCTACAACCATATATAGCTGCAGCGTGGCTCTACCACGTACAAAGAATTACATACATATATGAATTATAATAGCACCGGCATGGTAGCGTTCAGCACATCGAAATGAACCGCGCTCGTTGCAGTCGCGTCTAATTCTCACACAATGGGGCAAGTATCACTTCCTGAATTAGAGCGAGCACTGAGCATCCCGAGCGACGTTATATCGTTTTTGCTTGCCTCGTCTATGACTAATGACATGAACGGTATAGAATAGAACAGAATAAATTTTAGAGAATAAATTTTACATAACAAGAATACTATTTAAAGAATAAATATTTATGTATACTTATATCGTGATACTCTACATACCATTTGGATGAATGGCGGTCCGCCACTGTGCGATTTACAAGAAGTTTTCTTCCTCGCACTACTTCCTTGTGTCGATCGAATCGACTACCATCAGCCATTTTTCCGGACTGGTACCACTTAGGGACTTAAACTGACTCCCCTACCTACCCTACTCTTCTAAAAGGTCGGCAACGCACTTGCAATTCGCCTGGTGCTGCAGTTGTCCACGGGCGTCCGTACTCAGTTACCATCAGGTGAGTCACATGCTCGTTTGCCCGTCTTATAAAAAAATTAAGTCATTTAAGTTTTAAAAAAATCGCATAATTAAAGATCTTCACTTGAGAACGGCTGGACCGATTTTGATGGAATTTCACACACGACAAATTTCCCAACAGCATTGAGGGTATTGAGATAGATATTTTACGCTGGTATTCTGTGAGAGCGTGCTATAACTATAATATAGCTGCAGCGTGGCTCTGCCACGTATAAGATATACCTATAATATAATGACGCAATGCAACGCCGCCATGTATTCAACGTAACCAACTAGCGCTTCTAGTGCTATAACCTAGCACTTGATTTCCTCGTTTCCTCAAGGGCGTCATTCGCGCGCTTTAGCGTCTAGGGTTAAATCACAGATTGCCCCCTTTATCCCCCGATTATATCCTCTGACTAGAGATAAAATTATCTTGTTATTACCTATGCCAAAGTACGGCAACAGGGGAAAGGAGAAGTATATCCCTGTTTAACACAATGAGTAGACATAGTATATCCCCCGTCCGTAGCATGGGGCCAAATAAAAGAGAATAAATTATGCTTTTTTGACATTTGAAAGGGATAATTTTATCCTAGTTAATTGGACGTGGGTCTTCATAGTCATACAAAAAATCTATCTAAGTCTATCTCCCATTTTATCTGCTGTGGATATTATATCCACCGGTGTGCCCATGCTCGAAGGGTGGATAAAACTAAGCGAGGCGATAAACATTTTCTCCTTTCTCCGAAGATAAAATTGTCTCCTGCCCTGCTGCAAGGTGATGTAAAGAAGCAAAGTTGTCTAGTTCCAACGACGTGGCCGTGGTTTAGTTTGATCTTTAACCCACTCCAAAAAGGAGGAGGTTCTCATTTCAAGTGTATGTATGTTACGCGATGTCTTCGCAGATTGCTAACCAATTTTGATTATTCTTTTATTTATTAAATAGGTCATACTTCATTAGTGGTCCCATATGAATTTGGAGAAAAAATTCCACCACTAAGGGTAGCAAATAAATAATTTCCTTTTTTTCAATTTGAAGTCGATTTTTACTTTTTGTTAAAAGTTATCTATACAAATAAATAAAATTGAAGTGTCTGTTTGTAATGTCAAAATTACAGTTGTTTACTAAATGCATATAAAAGTAAATAATATAGTACTTATAACTAAAATACATTTTTTAAATTTTTGTCTGTCTGTCTGTTTGTTCCGGCTAATCTCCGCAACGGTTGGACCGATTTTGACGGGACTTTCACTGGCAGATAACTGATTTCATAAGGAGTAACTTAGGATACTTTTATTTTCGAAACAGAATTAGGGTTCCACGCAAAAACATAAAAACTAATTAGTAATTAAATAAATGTGGAAATACTGCTGATCCTGCTTCGTCGCCGTCCAAAATGAAGGAAGTAATTAGAAGGTGGTTGCGAAAGATATTTTCATTCAGTATGATATAACGCATTGAAAATTTATAAAATGCCAACCACCGGGTCGAATTATAAATCTGAACCATTTCGGAACCCACTTAAACACATATAAAAGAAATCATCAAAATCGGTCCAACCGTTTAGGAGTCTGGATGTTTGTTTTCCTTGTGAAATTCATGTATTTAGGCGTATATAGTATATAGGCCCTCTGGATACAGGAGAAAATTCCTAGTGTAAAGTAACGTCTTATAAAATTAAAAAAAATTACCAACGTAAAATTTTTAACAAATTTAAGTGAATATATTGATCGACATAAAGCAAATTTACTCCTTATTAAAAAGTATACAAGTAAGAGGCATTGTAATTATTTAAAACAATTCCCTGTTACGGTAAATTACGCGAACGTTTTATAATCATTTAATTGTAAAATGATAAGGTTAATCGGTCAGACGCGAGCAATGTACACCACATTGTTCCCAGTTAAAATTATGTAATTCCATCACACCCTTAACCTTTTGTTACTTAACTTTTTGTGACTGTAGTTTATATTATTGTAAAAACAATTCCGTCGCGTGAAGTGTGAGTGGGAGTGTGAGGAGTGTGTGTGTGTTTGTGTGTGTTTGTTTGTGTTTGTTTGTGTGTTTGTTTGTGTGTTTGTGTGTGTGTGTGTGTGTGTGTGTGTGTGTGTGTGTGTGTGTGTGTGTGTGTGTGTGTGTGTGTGTTTGTTTGTTTGTGTGTGTGTTTGTGTGTTTGTTTGTGTGTGTGTGTTTGTGTGTGTGTGTGTGTGTGTGTGTGTGTGTGTGCGTGTGTGTGTGTGTGTGTGTGTGCGTGTGTGTGCGTGTGCGTGTGCGTGTGCGGGTGCGCGTGCGCGTGTGCGTGTGCGTGTGCGTGCGTGTGTGTGTGTGTGTGTGCCATGGTTACTGCACTGAGATGTTTGACATTCCGATGTCATAGTTGGGCTAAGTAACGCAATTAAACGCG